GCAAATCTTGTCGAACTCCATACCAGCCTTCTGGTAGTACAAGATGTCCAACCAACATGGCCCAAGGTTCGCAAAGGAAACCCTCCAGGGTCAACAACACCAAATCCATCTTGTTCGCAAAATTCATCTCTACCAAAGAAAATGCCCCTCCAGAAATGTAGGCACAATCTCACTGGCAATCATCACTCCAAAGACCATAGAGCCCATTTCACAGTCAAGATTGGCTTTCAGATGTCTCCATACTCAGCCATCCATCTCGAGAGATACAGTACGGTATGGTTGCTCTAAGCCAAAAGGGGAATACTTGCATCCAAGTTATCTTCACACAAAGTTCAGTCAGTATGACAACAACTTCAGAGTACCTACCTGTCTCAGGGTTCAATGTACCTTCTCTGCATCTGTCCCAGTCTTCACGACTACATCCGTTCCAGGTCTCACAAAAAAAACAAACTGCAACAATCCAAGCAACGAAAGTCATACATGACCTGCCTGCGACCCTAAACAACTGTGCAAGCTCCAGCCAAAAGAAAACATGAAAACAGACTCACAATAAAAGTTTCCTGTTTCGTTTCAAGTCTCATAAAACAGTTTCCACTTCCTACACAGTTCAGGCCGTCTCCCATAACTCAATACATGCTCCATTCAAACGCATCCACAACTGCAACTCAAAACCACGAATGTTACCTGATGCATCTGAGAAATCAAAACCAACATTCCCAAACAGGAGGTGTCTACCTGTCACTTCTCAGCCCGTTGTCAACCAACAATCTCAACACCAAGTTCCATCGCGCCTTCAGTGCCATGACGGTTCCTACTTTCTTCTCTCTCTCTCTCAGCACTCCAGTGCCTAACTGCCAGGCAAACACCAAACTGCTTCAGGCTTCAGTTTCAAGGTCACCAGTGCAAAAGTCCGTCAAGCCCCACTGTTCCTGCACACTACCGAACCTCAGGTGTTCAACTACTCACGTCTTATCTCCAGACCTACACAAATTTCTTATCTCACACATGCGGCAATCCAATTCTCTCATGAACCAAGGTCATTGACAAAGCAAAAATCTGACCCTCCAGGTTCCCATGCCACAGTTTCTCTTTCTTACTACCACCTCCAGGCATGACGCCAGGCTCAGTAGCACCACGCACTGTGCACTCCGTGCGTCCAGGATCAACTACAACCTGACCAACCTGTCGAGATGTGGACCATTTCTTATGGTACTTTTCTGTTTTCCTTTCAATGCTTTCTAGTGATTCTCCAGGCTCTCTTTGCCAAAATCACCAAGCTTTTCTAGTGACTCTCCAGGCTCTCTTTGCCAAAGCCACCAAACTTTTCACAAAAAACAAATCTCACGTGCAACGCAACCGCAACACAATATCACATGCAGCTCAGCCGTTGACACTTATTTTACTCACGCTCACCACTCTTGTCAGGAACTCCATCGCCTATGCCCATGACTGCCAAAGATGCCTCATACAATGTTGAGTACAGAGATATTTCATCCATCCAATGCTCTGTGGTACCTTGCAAGTATTTGTCCTCGCAATTCACAGGATCGATGCTGCAACTCCATTTCCAAACCCAGGAGATTGTCCTTCAACATCATGATGATATCCAAGTTGCTTCGGCTAATTCGCACATCTTCCAATAGCGGTACCAGCCATTCCAGGAGTACGATCTGCGTCTGTAGCAACCTTATGACACCTTGCAACTTCTCTACCTCGATAAGTCGGCCAATGAGTTGTTCATTCTCTGCCTCGTACACGGCATTATCTCTTCTCCGATCTCTGGATCTATCTCTGGCATCCATCTCAGGCAAAACGATTGCGAAATTCCTTGATACCCAAACTTCTCGGTTCCAAACAGGGTACAGTGGTTTCAAATTTTCCAAACAAGTCAATTTCAACAAGAATTCTACACACTCAAGCATCTCCAGGCAAGTTGTCGGAGTCCTCATTGTCCAAACACCTCGCTTGTGTCTCCAGGACCTACTCCCAACCTCAGCCTGTTAATCAAGTCACTTACCTACTTCTCTTTGCTTATCTCCAGACAAGTTGTCGGAGTTCTCATTGTCCAAACACCTCACTTGTGTCTCCAGGACCCACTCCCAACCTCAGCCTGTCGAGATATTCTCAAGCATTTCAAAAACATGTCGTTTCAGGCAATCAATTGACAAGTCACCTTCATCAAATGACCTTACAGCCAACATGCCAAAAAAAAGTGAAACAAAAACACGTCACCTGAATCAAGAATACTCAAGCTCTTCGATGTCCCTGACTTTACAACAGCAATGTACTAACCTAGTGTCGACTGCAAATCCTTAGTACAAGCTCAACACATATCCCTGCAGAAGATCTGGAAGCTCAATACAAACGATTCCAGCTTCACCTTAGATGGTGTCCTTAGCACACTGCAACAAGGGTCAGCGGAGAATGGTATGGGTAGCTCCATAGAGCTCCGCTACCATGTGAAAAAGCGCCGTGCACAGATCTGCGATCAGATCCAACGCTTCATCAAAATTCCTACAGAACTACGCAGGCAGACGCGTACGTCAACCACGCACACCAGACACAAGCGCAGCGCGTGTAGTCGCAAACCTAATTAAACTAAAGCACTGTCGTGTCAAGAAAACTGTTTCACCCTCGACTCCCACATGCTGACGTCGGACTCCTTCTTTTCGCTCCAGACGCAACACGATCAGTCACAGGGAAACACAAACACAACAAACAAAACCAAAACAAAACAAAACGAGCAAAGATAAAGTGTTCCCTCTGTCGGTCTGTCTTATGTCAAGTTAAGTGACACAGCAGCTCTTGTTCATTAAATGAACTTCTAACACCACTCCCTTGAGCCGATGTCTCAACTGGTAAACTCGATTCTAGGTTTCCAGTTAACAAACCTCAAGTTCTTCAAATAAAGGTTTGTTGAAACAATTCCAGCTGCTACAAAATCTACACATTCACTTTTCACTAGTTGAATTCAAAAAGATCGAAACACTTCCAAAAGTTCTCAAAGCAAACTGGTTCTCATCCAAACGTGAATAACCAGCTAACTAACGTTGACCGTTAGCTTCTCAAGAACGAAGTGATTCACACAAGGTATCTGTACAACCTTCTTCTGAATACAAAACATAGTCAGAACACAGCGTTCCATCTCCAAATCAGCTTTCCACATAGAGATAGTATCTCACAGCCTCTCAATGTAGAATAGAATGTTCTGTTCAACATTGTCAATGTAGGTCAGCCAAATACAGTTGTATCGCTGTAGTCTTTCGACCACTGTAATAGCTAATCCACAATGTAAGGCAAAATCGCTTAAGGACAATGTTGTCCTTGTAAGCGATGATCAAAGTCGTCAGAGGATAACGACATTCTTTGAAGCAATAAAAGGCATAGTCCAAGATCAAAGGTATGATCTGTAGATCACGATGACGATGATGTAGGTATTGTCCTCACAAGACCGAAACATCTCATCACACAAACTCTCAGACAAATAAGACGAGCAAATCTGGTCATTGTCCTCACAATGCCAATGCATCTCAATGTCCAAAATTCAAAGTAAGGTGTATCCTCTCCATCAGACATTCCAGCTAAGTCAAACTCTTCTCCAAGAGTTTCCAGCTGTATGTTCTCATCACTTGGAGAGAATAAACTTCTCAGTGTCGAAGACACAATAGGAAATCTCAATGTCGAGCCAATGTAGGTATCTTCAGCTCAAGCAATAAGCTGTACCAGACTCAAGTAGAATCCAGAGTAAGATGTAGAACTGATCAATACACCACATCCAGGTCAACATGACATTCTTAGAATGTCACAAAAGCTTGTAGGTCCAAGAGCAATAGAATATTGTGACCAAACTGCAGGCCAACTGCACAGATCTCTTCGACATTTTTTTTCCGTCCAACGCCTTCATGGCTTCCGCCAGGTCGTTCAACATGTTTTATTGCATGTTGCAAAATGAGATTAATTGATTAATTATGGCATACATAGGCCGTCTGCGGTTGAGTGGCCTCAAAAGTGAACTGACGAAGGACCGGTACGTAGTCCTGTGTACTGTCACAATGTCATCACCGAAACACAAAACCAAACAGAAGCAAAACAACAAAAGCAACCAAAACACCAAACACAAAAACACAAAAACACAAAACCAACCAAACCAAAAAGCAACCCACACAAGCAGAAGATCTCTTCGACAACAACAAGCTGATTGTTGTCTACCAATCTTCCGTGCATAAAACTGTACAATGATGGAGAATGACATGTCGCTTCATCCAAAGGGTGCTCCCACAGGGTGCCAAATTTACATATGTACCACACTGTTGCGGTTTGTCTTCACTGCTCTGGAGCAATTCCTCTAGGTGCTTCTAGCCCTTACGGGTCCCGTTGGCCCTAACATCATGGTGGTCCCACTTAGCCCAGGTTATATCCTTGAGCCAGAATAGCTTTTTTTCCTTCTAGTACGGCCAATCACGCTCTAAGGCTCCGTCCTTACATGAGAAGAAGCTGTTATCAAGAAAACTTCATAAAAACAAAATACAAACAAGCCAGAATAGCGTGGCTGTTAGAGGCTCAAAATTCTTCGTCAATATCACCTGTCTGCTGTTGGTTCTGTCTCTTGGTGGGCGCTTTTTTGTCGGTGCTCATGTTGAGTCCTTGTTTGATTATTACTTGAGTACGCGTAAACACTCTTGGTTTCTTTTGGCATCGTGACAGCCAAGAGGACTTTGCACTGGTCCTGCCCTCAGTTCAGCTTTTGAAGCCACATTTGTGAAGCTGATGACGTCTTTTCATTAATTAATCGAATTTGTCAAATATGCAACTGGCTTACAGGCATGAACGACCTGGCGAAAGCTATGAGGCGTTGGACGGAAAAAAAGCGTAAACACTCTTGGTACGGACCTCAGTAACTGATGCAAGCGTGCACCTTCACGTTTCTGGATTGGACGAGTTCGTTGTACCTTTAGGCCTCTGATTGGACGAGTCGGTGTTCAGGTACATTTCACCTTTAGTCAAGGCTCGTTGGGCGCTGCTGCCCGAGCAGCGCTCAGACCATGCCCGAGCTGTGTGGACAGCAGCTTCAGCGCCGGCGGCAACAGCGACTCCGACTTGGGCTGGAAAGAAATGCTCTCGGGCAGCGGCGCGGACCTGTGCAGAAAGACATTTGCCAGTGAGCGGGAAACTCCCTCTGTCGTTTGGCAAATCATAAATGTTTTTTGGTTTGTGTTGGGCCCTGCCCCTTTCTTTTGTTGCTTCGCTGTTGCTTCCCTTGGCGAACAATCTGGCTGGGGGATTTGCGGGTCGTCTGCCGCTTTTTATTGTTCTGTCGATGTATTGATTTGCCAATGTATCAAAGCTGGAACCACTGCGTTTCTTGCTGAGTCCTTAATTAGTTCGACCTGTTTACACCAATTTTTCAGAACCAAGCCTCAGAGCGACATCGGCCAAACCAGAGGAAAATGAAACATTGGCACGACAGAGTTGTGTCAACATGTTCAGAATTGAACAGAACTGAGTATCACAATCAGCAGATTAGCACCTGACGTTTGCTTTTGGGGTTTTGTGTGAAAATCCAGAGACCCAAGTTACCTACGCGACGCAACGCGAAAACCCTGGGGTCGGCAGCAAGGGCGAAAAACCCAACAACACAACTAAAAAACCTTCCACTCAAACACACAGTCCGTCTCTCAAGTTCCAACTTTTGCTCCAGCGAACCGAAGGAAACAACAAAGTCTGAGCTTGTTTCCTGTCCTTTGCTTTGACTCTTGTTTGAACCAAGCTTGGCTCGTTTTGAGCCTTGAGATGAAAAATGCGCGACAGCGCATGCATCTCGTGTTGCGTGTCTTTTGACACCAAAAAAAAACGTCACAACAGCTTCTGCTAAATCAAACTGTTGTCTCCACAAAACATCGAAAACTTGTTTGTACAGGTTGTTTGTTTTCGATTTGTTCCAAGCACAAAATAAAACTCATGCTCAAATAAACTTCCGTGCAAAACAAACGAAATTTCTCCTGGCATTGCTGAAACTTCCAGAGGCATCTCATCCGTTCTTCCAGCATCACCAAAGGTGATAAAGCATCACCCAAAACTCAAATAACTCCACAATCTGCATCGCAAAGTTCTTGAAACAAAAAGGGCAATGACGAAAGTCATTGAAACTTCTTTCCAGCCAAACCATGGAGTCCAAACTCCTTTACCAATCTTCTTCCAGCTTGAATCTCCATGAAAACGTGACAAAACATCGATGTCACCAAATCAATGGTGATGACGTTCTCTTGTTTGCTCATCCGTGATGAGCAAATCTCAGCAAAATTTCCCAACCATCTTGTTGAAGTCCAAAATAGCCTGTAAAAGGCCAAAACCTTGTAAATTCTCACCATGACCACGTATGGTGGTGAAATTCACCATAAACCAAATAGAACTCAGCGGCACCCGGTGATGTCATCTTTCCACACCCCCACTTGCCGTGAGTTCGAAACCAGTTGAAGAAAATCAGCGTCATCGAGGTGATTCTCCATTCCAGTCTCAAACAAATTCATCTGAATTCCAGAAACTGTAGATCATATCGATCTTGTGAAGGCCAAAGATCCAACGGATCTTTCATTTGCAGTTTCAAACAAATTCTTCTTTTCGTTCTTGTCCAAAGCTTCCATGCAATTGTTCCCGCCTTATTGTAAGGCTATTGTACTTGCTCCCAACCAGCTGTCATTCCATTGAAAGCTAATTCAGAGCTCATAATGCATAGACCCCACATAGATCGCTTACTTGAAGCGGCGCTCCACCTCAGTTCCTGGGAACAGAAGTCCAGAGTCCTTGTTGGACTTCTTTTCATAGGCATCCCGATACTTGACAAAGTCCATGGCGACCTTGCCAGCAGTATGGGTTGTAAGGTGGCTCTTGCACCACTTGCGATACCCTGCATACTCCGGGGCTGTCAGCATCTCATGGTAGGTCACATTTGCTTCGGCATACTTGCCGAAGGAGATGACCGTGCGGCCCCATTGCTCCAAGCTGGTAATGCCCGTTGGCAAATCCAGCTCCACACTGGTGTAATCCACCTTGAGGTGGCCTTTCTCTGCAACTTCGATCCATGGGTTATCCATGGAACCCACAGACTCCTCATCCACATAGCGGCGCTTTGAGCCATCGCTCATAGCGGCTCCACGGCTCTCATTCGCAGCAACCACCTCCATGACTCGGCCATGGCTTCAGCAACTAAGACGAGGGTAAAAAGTCTGTGCTGTTTGTTGCTAGGAGCGCAAGTCAGACCCTAAGTGACAGACTTCAGCGTCCAAGTTTCCGGCAAAAAAAACAATCCGCCACATGTCAAATGCTTCGCATGAGAGTGGACATGACTGCAACTGTGAAACTGTCTTTTGTTTGGCTGTGCTCTGTGCTTTGCTAGAGCTCTATATAAGGTCGCGGCCATACACTAAGGTCATGACAAAACTGTGAAACTCTTGGTTCTTTTCCACTCCGAAAACATCTGCAAACATCCACAAACTGACATGTCAAAAAAACGTTTACCGTTTGATTTTCCCCGATTCTTTGAACCCTTCTTTCATGGCATTCAAAATTCCCCTGGCTAAAACTGGACTGTATAAAGCTGTTTTCCCAAAATGAACTTCGTTCAACGCTGCATGTTCCGGACAGTCGCACTGGCCAAATCTCCTTTCTAAGCTCGTCACAAAAGCTCCGGACGTTGAAACGAAACGTAGCTGCTTGCCAATTGGTAGACAGCTCTTTCCGATCAAACCAGTTTTGCACAGTCGTACTGTTCCTGAGAAAATCAAACCACTCCTCTCAAGGGTCTTGTGAGTAAGTTCACGGTCCCAAATCTGGTTGTGCTTCGGCAGTTCGAATGACGCTTGGTCACCCAGGCTAAGGTAAAACGAAGCGGACGACATGACTATCTTCCATGTCTCAGTCTCACCAACTCCTGCATGGAAATTCCGAAGAGGGGACCCACTTGAACATGGTGTGGAAACATGTACATGAACCAACAAACCTTCTGTTTTCTGTTGTTCTACAAAATCCCGAACTCTTCGTTGAACCCCAAGCAACTCCATGTTTGATGACACTCCCAAATACCTAAAACCCGAGGTGGAACATGCCCTTTTCAAAGCTGAATCCTTGTCGCAACAGACTTCAAGGAATGCATAGTATGCAGTTCTTTTGGGCATGGCCTCAACAAACAATTCTGCCAAATCTTGCACTGGAAAATCAACTCTGTCAATTCCAAGGGTACTGCGGTGTCGATAAAAGTCCTTTGAAGGCAAACATTTTGTGAAAAGGTCTGCAACGTTCTCAACCCCTTGTTTATGAATCAGAGTAATTTCCTCACTCTTCAGTTTGTCTCGCAACCATTCCAACCGAATCTCTATGTGTCTGGACCGTTTTGGTAGGTCTATTCCCTGAACCAACTGAATTGCTGAGCTGCTGTCGCTTTCCATGACAATTGGAACAATCTCACCTTCGTGTTGCCATCCCAAACCAGATACAACCCTTTGAATGAGTCTGGACAGTGCTACACTCTCTTGGCTGACCAACTGTAACGCGTACAATTCTGACTCACAGCTGCTAAGGGCCGTACTTTGCTGCTGTCTGGCTAAGGTCCGAACAACACCGTTCTGAAATGTCACAACCCCGCCTGTGACACCCCGCCTTGAGTTGAACCTCCAAGGTCCATGCGACGCATCACTGAAGCTGTGCACCGTCAAGCTGCTAGGTGAGTAACCTTCGGCAGTCAAGGCATCCGAACTTTCTGATGGAAGCCGCAACGTGACATTCATGTCGTTTCTCAAAAATCTCAAAAGACCTCGAAGTGCTGCTTCCGTTCCCTGACATGGTGACTGCTGTTGAGTTCCTAACAGTGACATGGAAAGCTTGAGATCATGGCGTGATTGACACATCCACATGATTTTTCCTACAGCTCTGCGAAAACGCTGGTAACCCTCAGTTGAAAGTGGCTCCTTTGCTTCTTTGTCTGAAACTGTTTTCTCCAAATGTTCAGCAATGTTGGGTGCTGCATCTGAACCCTTTGAAATACCAAATTCCTTGAATGTTGAATCCAAATAAGACGGATTTACCAAAATGTGAATGGCTGACTCTTCCGGGTTTCTGAACAGTGTCCTACCAATGAAACTGAGTTGACCACCTCCCAGGTGTGAAGGTAAAATTCTGCCTGTCGTTTTCGTTGGAACAACCTTTGAAATTGCATCGCAAATGACAGATTCCGTTCTTTCACAAGACGTTGCTAGCAAAATGTCATCTACGTACACTAACAACATGGCAATACCCAGTTCATTCCCCTTTGAGTCCAAAACCTTTCCTTGGTAAAAACATGGTTCCAAAGTGTCACTCCACAACCCTTGTCCTTGAATCGTTCCTGCAAGAAGACGAAGCCAAGCTAAGGAGGCGTCTCTCAGCCCGTTCAGGGCTCTCTTCAACTTCAAAAAGGCAACTGAGCCGTCACACAGACTCACTGAAAGCGGCAATCGTAGCAGAACGATTTGATCCTCGAGGGGACTGTGCATAAAGGCATGGGAGATGTCCAATGATCTCAGAAAAAGATTCAGCGTGGCACAGAGAATTAACATCAGGTGCAAAGACTCACAAGATGGTGTAGGGCTGGAATACCCCATCTTTCTAGCACTGGTTCCACGAGCTAGGTCTTTGGCGACAATCCGACATCTGACTCTGATTGCTGATTTAAAGGCACAAACCCAACGAGCTCCAATGACTCTGGCCGACTTGTTGACCTTCTGAACCGCCTTGGCTTCTGCTTCACTCAGCAGATCTCCAGTCTGACAAGCATCTAAGTTGTTCACTTCTTCCTGCATTCCTTCAAAACCCAAATTGGTATCCAAGGACTCCAACGTTTGATCGTCGATGATGGTGTCTGGTTTCCAAACTTTCACCTTACCACCACCAAGTCTCACAGTAACACTTTCGTGCCTAGCGTCAGGTCGAAACTGAATTGCAGAAACTGTTTCATCATTGGAAAATAGTTCTGGTGAAGTAATCCGTTGAAACCCATTTTCATCTGTTTCCCCTAGATGTTGCAAAGGCTGACATGACATCGAACAACACCATTCTGGTTCCTGATGAACAAACAAGCTGTCCATCATCGGATCTTCCCGAATTTGCTTTTCCAAATCTGAAACATCAACATCCGCAGTGCGTTTCCGATCATCCCCAACACTTGACGAATCCATGTCGCCCACCGGAGTGGGGCTTCCAAGTTCAACTTCCGGCATGTTTGTATCACCATCCACATCAACCCTACTGTCCAATTCCTGTCCTTGAGTTGGAGTACCGCCATCAACAGGTGCATCTACAAACTTCTCTGGAGTGGACGGCGAATGCATTTCCGTTGAGGCACTAGGTGAAGAGGCTGACTCTGGACTATTCTGTGCTTCAAAGGCCTTCCTACGACGTTTGCACTCAGCATTGTGTCGACTGCCAGGTGCATCCATCCCACTTTCACAAGCAGGACAACGTCTGGTTTTCTGAAAAACCCTGGAACTCTCTGCAAATGAAACACGTTGACCCTTTTGCGAGTCTGGTGACACATCTTGCTTCCCTATGCCCCCACTTAAACTGGACTTTGGTGCAACTCCCACAGGACCTGAGGAAACCTGTTGCCTTGAAGATGATTCCACTGGTTCTCTTTCTAAAACCTGTTCGTCCCCATCTTCAGGTGGTTTTATTTCATCCTGAGGTCCAGACTCCGCTGCTACAATCCGTTTCCGTTCGGGGGATTCTCCAGTCTGATACAAAAACTCACTGCACAACTCCAAATCCCATTTCAAAGGTTCTACAACTCGCACATTCCTAGCTGTAAACCGAACCAAGGTGAGAACTCCATCCAAACGTATCTTCCCTTGCACAACTGGTCCATGAGAAGTCCCACAGTGTAAAAAGGCTGCTTCAATCAGTCTCGTTTCGTTTGGAACTCTCTGTTTCACTGAATCTGGTAACTCAGCCATAACAGTTGTACAAAACAAAGAAGATGTTGGTTTGGACAGTCTCCTACCGCATGCATTCTCAAGAGGACTAAGGTCGGTACCTGGTGTCTTACTGAAATGGTTATGGCACAGCGACAGGTATGTGAGGGCGGTCTGAACCGGCTCATGCGCAAACTTAATGTCAACTCCACACTTCGACAAGTCTGCTCTCAAGATTCAAAAAAAAACTCCTTCAACCTTCTGACGCATCTCTCAGCACCTCCTGTCGACTGGTGTTGCTGCGGATTGGATCGCCGGACAGCGAAAGAAAACTGTGACCCTGATTTTGTGAAGAGTTCTCCAACAGCTTTCTCTGCATCCGTGTGTATCAAAACCGAAGTGCTTGTTGATGAAATTCCACATTGCTGCAAGTACTGGTTGATCTGAGAGTAAATTGCATTCTTGTCTTCCCCAATGACGATGTAGCCCACATTGTTTGTGGCCAATTCCACAACAACCAAAATCTTAAGGTTCTCCTGGTTCTCCATGTGGTCAAGAACCTCCCCTTCCTTTTTGAGCCAACAGAAATCCGCCTGAAACTCAGTTGACAAACCTTTGGCTGTTCTTCGGCGGTGCTGAAAGGTTGAATGCCCTCTGGCGCACTCACTGCAGGCTGGGTGATGGGGAGTATGACCCTGTCGTCTATGTGTGGCTAGATCGACTTGTTCTGATTTTGAAACAGGACACAAACATGATTCCGATTGTTGTGAACTCTCAGCTAAACCAGAAAGAGCAAATTTGTGGTCCATCCAGTCCTCGTCCAAACTCTTCCATGGATGTAAACGCACCCATGGACAACCGCAAAAGTATGAAACTTCCATCATGGTTGCACCATCTTTATGTTTCAATGAAAAACTGTCTGGGGTTTGCGAAAAATACCATCCGGACTGACACAAAAGGGTGGTTGACAGTATGTTGTGCTGAATCCTACCAACCAAAACATGCATCTTGGCCTTTTTCCAAACTGGCGGCAACCCTTGCTTTCCCTTTTCAGACACAAGCATGGACACCTGCAGGCTGGCAATCCCACCCAACGTCCCCACCATTGGCAGTTTTGAAATTAGGCATTCCCACATCCAACGGCTTATCAATCCCAAACGCTCGCATGCACGACTCAGCAAGGACAGTCGCACTGGCACCACTATCCAGCAACCACCAAGAAGCATCCTCATAGGTCATTTGGGACAGAAGTGGAGCGACAAGCGGTGACCAAACTGACAAACGTTGAGACAGGGAGCACGTTTCAGTTGCAGGAGGGTCCAAGAAGGTGGAAACTGCAGGCTTAAACATCTGAACCCTGGCACACGCAGGAGAGAGTAATGACTCAGCTGCACTTTCAGCACCCGACAGGTCCCCAACCAGTCCTGGACGGAATTTCCAAAACTCCTCAAGACCGACAAACTTGTTGCTGTTTTCCAAATTATCTCCAAAAACAGGTTGTTGTTCAAAAACATCACTGTTGTCAACATTGCCAAAACCCTCAAATGAAATACCAGCACATGTTGAACAAAACAAACCGTTTCCAAAAACGTCTCTGGCACAAAAAACACATGTTTGACACTCGTTTGCGTTTGTTTCTGACATCACATGCAGCATCGGTGCAAAAATCAAACTTCCAACTGTCTGTTCGTTGCCGTTTCCAGTGGGTGCATTCTCCAAACTTTGGGGGCTATCCTCCCTATATTGGGTCCAACTTCCCATTGATTGATTCCAGTCATAGCTATCGTCCCAAACTTGAGCTACTCCGGATTCCTGCCATCCATCTGCACCCCACCAGTCATTTTCATTCCACCACCAGGACTCCTCAGGGTCCCACTCCTCTGACGTTTCATTGAGCTTACCCTTCTTTCCTTTGGTGGACTTGCCTTTTCCGTTTGACTTACCTTTCTTCCATTGATCTCCTTTGGAGACTCCTTTTCCTTTTCCTGTGTTCTCTTTTCCTTTGCCTTTTGGTGATCCTTTTGAAACTCCGGATCCACTCTTGTTGGGGCAGTTGACTCCTACATGGACATACTGCGAACATCTGAAACACCGAACCTTTGTCAAATCTACGCTGCATTCTTTCGTTTCATGTTTCTTACTGCCACATTTGGTGCACTTTCCATTTTGGACTGCGTTTATTCCATGTTCCCATGTATCATCCCCATTAGTCATGTCAAACCATTGAGTTTCTCCATCTTGTCCAACAAACTCAACCTGGTTCAAACCTTTTACATGACCAATGTCCAAAAATAATCTCTGTTGTTGTTCGAATCTCCGCGCAGCCTCCCGATAGGCCTGGTAGCTCTCACCACTAGCATGGTGGAGGGCGAAGGAGCGAGCTGAATCTGGAAGCGATCTTACCAGCATCATCAGCATATCGGCATCTGAAACCTGTAGTCCAACTGGATCCACATTCGACGGTAAACTGCTCAGCAACCTCTGGTACTTGGCACACTCAAGCTCAATGCGGCGAATCGTATCGCTGACCATTGAAGACGGAGAGGTCTCATTGGAGGGTACCACAAAAGTCTTGGTTGCTAACGAAGTCCTAAATGCAAGAGCTTCTCCACGACTCCTCAAAGAGTATTCCCGTGCCAGTTGTCGAAGAAGTTCATACCCGTTACAGTCTTGCTCTCGGGAAACTTCCGACATACCTGAACTCACTTGGATACCTTCCATGTAGGCATGTATGAGGTTTGCCGTTCTAGGGTGACCCTGAAAACTGCTCTTCAGAATGGCTAAGAGTCTCATCGACCTTGACCTCATCGCAATCGTCATCGAGGACCATGAAATCGAAACCGGCCACTTTCCTGCCTGAAGTATCTCTTGTCCAAATTCTAGACTTGCCTGTGAGGCCCAACTGGCTAAATCCGTGTAGTATTGGGAAAATCCCAACACCTCCGATTCTCGGTTCACCCAAGTAGAGAACTGCGGTTGCGGTGGAACACCAAGCCATTTCTCTGTCCTAGAAAAGACGTCCTGAGACGCTGTCTGGTTTCCATCCATTCTCACATCACTTCGACCCAACCCTTCACACATGCCGCTCGGAAGCGGAAGACCGGCCCCATGAAAGTCTGGCATGAATGGTTCTGAAGGCACTCTGTTCACTTCACCAAACCTAGAAGGCACAGCTTGTGCTCTTTGTCTCACCTGCTCTTGACACCACTGAGTTAACGCTAAGATCTGGGCACTGTCTAAGTTCGAAGCTGCACTCACGACATCTCTCAACCCTAAACCAGAAAACACATTCCCTGTTGGTGGTTGATTCGACTGAGGTCCCAAACTGTTCTGTGGTTGGTTTCCAAAAGGTAAACAGCCTTGTCCTGAAACCGCATGCATCGGTAAAAACCCTTGTCTCTGAAAACATCCTTGTGGAAAAAACCCTGTTGTATTTCCCATTGTGCCACAACATCCATGTGGACCATTCTGAGATCCTTGCGAACATTGTCCAGTCACACTCGGTGGAACTGCTGTCATGCTTGGCCACTGTGCTAAGCCCGGTGCACAACTAAGAAACTGACTTTCAACTGAGCTTGGCGCTGCAGCTTGTGGGCACTGACCTTGTTGCATTGCTTGCTGCTGTTGTTGTTGCTGTTGCCCCTGACATGAGCTAAGGTTTTGCGCAGCTTGTCTCGCGCCTAAACCTGGTAAACCTGAGCCTTCGCTTCGCTCTGGGGAACTAAGTGACGACGTGCTTGGTGGCAACCTTGTGTTGTATCCTTGCTCCATTTGTGTTGGTGAACTTGGGTCCATACCTCTAGCTACCCTAGTTACATCTGCTTGCAACCCTTGGGACATACCTGGACCGTTTTGCTGCATCCTCCTAAACCTTCACCTGACTAGGCCTAGGAGCACACAGCTCCGCTACCATGTGAAAATCCAGAGACCCAAGTTACCTACGCGACGCAACGCAAAAACCCTGGGGTCGGCAGCAAGGGCGAAAAACCCAACAACACAACTAAAAAACCTTCCACTCAAACACACAGTCCGTCTCTCAAGTTCCAACTTTTGCTCCAGCGAACCGAAGGAAACAACAAAGTCTGAGCTTGTTTCCTGTCCTTTGCTTTGACTCTTGTTTGAACCAAGCTTGGCTCGTTTTGAGCCTTGAGATGAAAAATGCGCGACAGCGCATGCATCTCGTGTTGCGTGTCTTTTGACACCAAAAAAAACGTCACAACAGCTTCTGCTAAATCAAACTGTTGTCTCCACAAAACACATCGAAAACTTGTTTGTACAGGTTGTTTGTTTTCGATTTGTTTCAAGCACAAAATAAAACTCATGCTCAAATAAACTTCCGTGCAAAACAAACGAAATTTCTCCTGGCATTGCTGAAACTTCCAGAGGCATCTCATCCGTTCTTCCAGCATCACCAAAGGTGATAAAGCATCACCCAAAACTCAAATAACTCCACAATCTGCATCGCAAAGTTCTTGAAACAAAAAGGGCAATGACGAAAGTCATTGAAACTTCTTTCCAGCCAAACCATGGAGTCCAAACTCCTTTACCAATCTTCTTCCAGCTTGAATCTCCATGAAAACGTGACAAAACATCGATGTCACCAAATCAATGGTGATGACGTTCTCTTGTTTGCTCATCCGTGATGAGTAAATCTCACCAAAATTTCCCAACCATCTTGTTGAAGTCCAAAATAGCCTGTAAAAGGCCAAAACCTTGTAAATTCTCACCATGACCACGTATGGTGCTGAAATTTACCATAAACCAAATAGAACTCAGCGGCACCCGGTGATGTCATCTTTCCACCTTTTGTCTCCGTGTCCTGCTAGAACTTGCCTCCTTTGTGTTGCGTCCGAGCAAAAGACCGAAGCGTTTGCACTTAGGAGTCGAGGTTTGAAACTTCTTGTTTAGGTTTTCAAGGTTCTGACTTCCGGAACTTGGGTTTGATCTAGGGATCAAGACTTTATCAAGGCAGCGGAGCTCTGCGGGGCTACCCACACCATAGTACGCTGAGCCACTTGCAGACCTGTCAGTGGCTTGTTCGGTGGCTGGCCAGCATCTGAAGGAACTCCACGCTTGCAAGCCTGCATCAATGCTGTCGAGCTAGCGATCATCGCTAACTCGCTCGCATTGGATTCAGTTTTGAAAGCAGCATGCACCGTAAGAGTGCCTGGCAGCTCCTAATGAAGATGATGCTTGGAAAAGAACTACTGAGTGGACTCTGAGTGCGCCGTGAATGCCGTAGCTACCGCCGTACTTTTGACTCTAGATCAGGTCTCACCTCCTGTTTCACCCTTCATTCTTTTTTCACCACTCTCGTTGCGACCCGGCGTTGTCGGTGTTTGCTTCGAAGTGCCAGGGTGAGTGTCATGCCTGAACGGCTGCTCTGTGTGATCTCGGGGATCCTGGCTGGGGGGATCCGCATTGAACTTTGTTGCTTTTTTCACCCTCTTACATGGCCCCTTTGTGTGTTTCTGTGTTTTCTTTGTTTTGCTTCTTTTTCGGTGGCCATTCTCATAATGACACACAAGATGTCATCATGCATGTAATTTCCATTGCTGGTCGTGATCCCACTTCTCTGGGGTGTTTTTGTTTTGGTTTGGGTGTGGTTGTGTGTTTTTGGTCTTGTTTGCTTGTTTTCTTTTGTTGCTTGGTTTTGAGTTTTGTTTGGTTTTTTGCTGGGATGGCCAACTGGACTGCGTACAGGTCCACTACCAGCACTTTTGTGGCTATCGACAAGTTGACAGCCCTGGAGGACAAGTACAATTCATCAGCTATTTAACCCTAGTTTGCAGCATGCAATTGAACATGTTGAACGACCTGGCGAAAGCCATGAAGGCGTTGGACGGAAAAAAAAGTTCGGTGGCTGGCCAGCATCGACATGGCTGGTGGGGTGGTCCGGGAGTGTAGGAGGTTGTCACTAGCGGAGAAGTGGTGTGGATACTTTGGTTGAGCTAAAAGATCTAGAGATCTTGTTTTGGTAAGTAGGAGCTTGTGAGTTTGGTTTGGCATCTGGCAACTTGGAGGTGCGCTAGTGGTTGCATCTAGGTTGAATCATTGTCAGTGGAAGAGGCACTGCTGTTGACCGAGGAAGATGTGAAAATCTAGAGACCCAAGTTACCTACGCGACGCAACGCGAAAACCCTGGGGTCGGCAGCAAGGGCGAAAAACCCAACAACACAATTAAAAAAACCCTCACTCAAACACACAGTCCGTCTCTCAAGTTCCAACTTTTGCTCCAGCGAACCGAAGGAAACAACAAAGTCTGAGCTTGTTTCCTGTCCTTTGCTTTGACTCTTGTTTGAACCAAGCTTGGCTCGTGTTGAGCCTTGAGATGAAAAATGTGCAGGCGCACACACATCTCTGCTTGAATGTCCTTTGACATTCCAGGGCAACAAAAAAAAACTTCTGCTGCTGTTTCGGCACTAAAACTGCCGTCTGCTCAAACACATCGGAAACTGGTTTGTACAAATTGGTTGTTGTTTTCGATTTGTTTCAAAAAAAACGTGAGGTTGAACTCCGTGGACATGCAAAAACCAAAACGAAGTCGGCATCCTCAAACGGCTGAAACATCCAAGTTCGCATCCCTTGTTCTTCCAGCAAAGGTGACTCAAAACGTCACAAACGTAACTGAAACTCCACAACCTTCATTGCAAAGTTCTCAAAGGAGATGCCATCGATGATGACGTAAGTCATCAACCTTCTTCTCAAATAAAACTCACAATCCAAACTTCTGTGCAAATCTTTTCCAGCTTGGAATTCCGTGTAAACATTCTGAAACTCTGGTATCGCCAAACCAATGGCGATGAAATCTTCCCATTTGCCTCATAGTGATGAGCAAATGATCCAAACGTAAACATCACCAAACCAATGGTGATGAAATTTTCCCATCTGCTTCATAGCGGTAAGCAAATGTTCCCAAAATGCCTGTTGAAGGCAAAACAGCTGTAACTTCTCACCATGGACACCATTGTTGGTGAAAATCACTGTAAACAAAACCGTGCAGAACTCAGCGGCACCAGGTAGTACCATATTTCCACACCCCCACTTGCCGTGAGTTCGAACTCCCTGAAATAGATCAGCGTCCTTGAGGTGATCTTTCCATCCAGTTGAAAACTAATTCACCTTGAATTCCAGAAGCTAACAGATCGTATCGATCTCGGTAAAGGTCAAAGATCCAACAGATCTTCCATTTGCAGTTTCAAACAAATTCTTCTTTTCGTTCTTGTCCAAAGCTTCCCATGCACTTGTGCCTGCCTTATTGTAAGGCTATTGTACCTGCTCCCAACCAGCTGTCAATCCATTGAAAGCCAATCCAGAGCTCATAGTGCATAGATCCCCATAGATCGCTCACTTGAAGCGGCGCTCCACCTCAGTTCCTGGGAACAGAAGTCCAGAGTCCTTGTTGGACTTCTTTTCATAGGCATCCCGATACTTGACAAAGTCCATGGCGACCTTGCCGGCAGTATGGGTTGTAAGGTGGCTCTTGCACCACTTGCGATACCCTGCATACTCCGGGGCTGTCAGCATCTCATGGTAGGTCACATTTGCTTCGGCATACTTGCCGAAAGAGATGACCGTGCGGCCCCATTGCTCCAAGCTGGTAATGCCCATCGGCAAATCCAGCTCCACACTGGTGTAATCCACCTTGAGGTGGCCTTTCTCTGCAACTTCGATCCATGGGTTATCCATGGAACCCACAGACTCCTCATCCACATAGCGGCGCTTTGAGCCATCGCTCATAGCGGCTCCACGGCTCTCATTCGCAGCAACCACCTTCTTGGCCATCAAGGCTTGCAGTTGCTTCTCCTCTTCGATGCTCCATGACTCGGCCATGGCTTCAGCAACTAAGACGAGGGTAAAAAGTCTGTGCTGTTTGTTGCTAGGAGCGCAAGTCAGACCCTAAGTGACAGACTTCAGCGTCCAAGCTTCCAGCAAAAAAACAATCCGCCACATGTCAAATGCTTCGCATGAGAGTGGACATGACTGCAACTGTAAAACTGTCTTTTGTTTGACTGTGCTCTGTGCTTTGCTAGAGCTCTATATAAGGTCGCGGCCATACACTAAGGTCATGACAAAACTGTGAAACTCTTGGTTCTTTTCCACTCCGAAAACATCTGCAAACATCCACAAACTGACATGTCAAAAAAAACGTTTACCGTTTGATTTTCCCCGATTCTTTGAACCCTTCTTTCATGGCATTCAAAATTCCCCTGGCTAAAACTGGACTGTATAAAGCTGTTTTCCCAAAATGAACTTCGTTCAACGCTGCATGTTCTGGACAGTCGCACTGGCCAAATCTCCTTTCTAAGCTCGTCACAAAAGCTCCAGACGTTAAAACGAAACGTAGCTGCTTGCCAATTGGTAGACAGCTCTTTCCGATCAAACCAGTTTTGCACAGTCGTACTGTTCCTGAGAAAATCAAACCACTCCTCTCAAGGGTCTTGTGAGTAAGTTCACGGTCCCAAATCTGGTTGTGCTTCGGCAGTTCGAATGACGCTTGGTCACCCAGGCTAAGGTAAAACGAAGCGGACGACATGACTATCTTCCATGTCTCAGTCTCACCAACTCCTGCATGGAAATTCCGAAGAGGGGACCCACTTGAACATGGTGTGGAAACATGTACATGAACCAACAAACCTTCTGTTTTCTGTTGTTCTACAAAATCCCGAACTCTTCGTTGAACCCCAAGCAACTCCATGTTTGATGACACTCCCAAATACCTAAAACCCGAGGTGGAACATGCCCTTTTCAAAGCTGAATCCTTGTCGCAACAGACTTCAAGGAATGCATAGTATGCAGTTCTTTTGGGCATGGCCTCAACAAACAATTCTGCCAAATCTTGCACTGGAAAATCAACTCTGTCAATTCCAAGGGTACTGCGGTGTCGATAAAAGTCCTTTGAAGGCAAACATTTTGTGAAAAGGTCTGCAACGTTCTCAACCCCTTGTTTATGAATCAGAGTAATTTCCTCACTCTTCAGTTTGTCTCGCAACCATTCCAACCGAATTTCTATATGTCTGGATCGTTTTGGTAGGTCTATTCCCTGAACCAACTGAATTGCTGAGCTGCTGTCGCTTTCCATGACAATTGGAACAATCTCACCTTCGTGTTGCCATCCCAAACCAGATACAACCCTTTGAATGAGTCTGGACAGTGCTACACTCTCTTGGCTGACCAACTGTAACGCGTACAATTCTGACTCACAGCTGCTAAGGGCCGTACTTTGCTGCTGTCTGGCTAAGGTCCGAACAACACCGTTCTGAAATGTCACAACCCCGCCTGTGACACCCCGCCTTGAGTTGAACCTCCAAGGTCCATGCGACGCATCACTGAAGCTGTGCACCATCAAACTGCTAGGTGAGTAACCTTCGGCAGTCAAGGCATCCGAACTCTCTGATGGAAGCCGCAACGTGACATTCATGTCGTTTCTCAAAAATCTCAAAAGACCTCGAAGTGCTGCTTCCGTTCCCTGACATGGTGACTGCTGTTGAGTTCCTAACAGTGACATGTAAAGCTTGAGATCATGGCGTGATTGGCACATCCACATGATTTTCCCTACAGTTCTGCGAAAACGCTGGTAACCCTCAGTTGAAAGTGGCTTCTTTGCTTCTTTGTCTGAAACTGTTTTCTCCAAGTGTTCAGCAATGTTGGGTGCTGCATCTGAACCCTTTGAAATACCAAACTCCTTGAATGTTGAATCCAAATAAGACGGATTTACCAAAATGTGAATGGCTGACTCTTCCGGGTTTCTGAACAGTGTCCTACCAATGAAACTGAGTTGACCACCTCCCAGGTGTGAAGGTAAAATTCTGCCTGTCGTTTTCGTTGGAACAACCTTTGAAATTGCATCGCAAATGACAGATTCCGTTCTTTCACAAGACGTTGCCAGCAAAATGTCATCTACGTACACTAACAACATGGCAATACCCAGTTCATTCCCCTTTGAGTCCAAAACCTTTCCTTGGTAAAAACATGGTTCCAAAGTGTCACTCCACAACCCTTGTCCTTGAATCGTTCCTGCAAGAAGACGAAGCCAAGCTAAGGAGGCGTCTCTCAGCCCGTTCAGGGCTCTCTTCAACTTCAAAAAGGCAACTGAGCCGTCACACAGACTCACTGAAAGCGGCAATCGTAGCAGAACGATTTGATCCTCGAGGGGACTGTCCATAAAGGCATGGGAGATGTCCAACGATCTCAGAAAAAGATTCAGCGTGGCACAGAGGATTAACATCAGGTGCAAAGACTCACAAGATGGTGTAGGGCTGGAATACCCCATCTTTCTAGCACTGGTTCCACGAGCTAGGTCTTTGGCGACAATCCGACATCTGACTCTGATTGCTGATTTAAAGGCACAAACCCAACGAGCTCCAATGACTCTGGCCGACTTGTTGACCTTCTGAACCGCCTTGGCTTCTGCTTCACTCAGCAGATCTCCAGTCTGACAAGCTTCCAAGTTGTTGACTTCTTCCTGCATTCCTTCAAAACCCAAATTGGTATCCAAGGACTCCAACGTTTGATCGTCGATGATGGTGTCTGGTTTCCAAACTTTCACCTTACCACCACCAAGTTTCACAGTAACACTTTCGTGCCTAGTGTCAGGTCGAAACTGAATTGCAGAAACTGTTTCATCATTGGAAAATAATTCTGGGGAAGTAATCCGTTGAACCCATTTTCATCTGTTTCCCCTAGATGTTGCAAAGGCTGACATGACATCGAACAACACCATTCTGGTTCCTGATGAACAAACAAACTGTCCGTCATTGGATCTTCCCGGATTTGCGTTTCCAAATCTGAAACATCAACATCTGCAGTGCGTTTCCGATCATCCCCAACACTTGACGAGTCCATGTCGCCCACCGGAGTGGGGCTTCCAAGTTTAACTTCCGGCATGTTTGTATCACCATCCACATCAACTCTAATGTCCAATTCCTGTCCTTGAGTTGGAGTACCACCATCAACAGGTGCATCTACAAACTTCTCTGGAGTGGACGGCGAATGCTTTTCCGTTGAGGCACTAGGTGAAGAGGCTGACTCTGGACTGTTCTGTGCTTCAAAGGCCTTCCTACGACGCTTACACTCAGCATTGTGTCGACTGCCAGGTGCATCCATCCCACTTTCACAAGCGGACAACGTCTTGTTTTCTGAAAAACCCTGGCTGTGTGCAGCCTAGAATGGGTCCCCAGCACTTGTTCATCGACATCGAGGCCACAAGGTCTTCTTTCACGTGGGTATACAGGATCGGCAACTCGTCGTAATACCGGGTATTCATTATTTCGATGCCCATCGGTTGCAACCGGACCTCTTGGACACATTGGATCGCCAGATTGATCCAGGGTCTATGAAACTCGCAAGCCCCGAGGGTGCAGGAGACACAGTGAATGACCCCTCCTCGGATGAGGAAGCAGCCTCTACCGATGACGAGAGTGATCCAGAAGACCCTACAGTTGCATGGTGCCCACCCATACCTGATGCAGCTGAAGATCCCTCTGAAGATGAGATCGCGAGTGCAGCTGACCAGCTAGCAATCCTGATTTCTAATGTCCAACCCAACGGAAACCCTTTTTGCATACCCGAAAACCTTGGAGCTCTCCCACCGTTATGGCTACAGGCAAGATTGACGTTGCCTTTGACTGCCATCCAAGAAAAGTTTGCGCGCATCTTGCTGAGTGTGGCCTGTGAACTGTGGTTGCGCGGGCAAATTGCCAGGGTGGAGGATGTCCTCCTGCAGGCGGCAAGGGCTCTCACAATTCGTTTGGCAGAGAAGCTCGCCCAGGCGATGAGCTCATTGATGAGATTGGCTGAATCCATGGTGACTCCAGAAACTGAATGCTTGCTGTATGCCACGTACTGGTTTCGGCCCATCCTGTCTGAACTCATTGGCTCGGCCCGAGAGAGCTCTGAGGTGAACCGGAGTCGAGCGCCGAGTGGCCCAGTTAAAGTCCTGGTCACAGATCGGCCGCATCGGCGCATGACTGGGCTAGTGGACCTTACGAGTGGTGCCTCTGCCCTACTGGCATGGTTCCCGGCCAGCTGGGCCAACAAAATTGCTCCCAAACTTCTCGAGAATGCTCCTGAGAATGCGCAGAAACCACAAGAAATTAACATCGCTTGCCCGAAACGTTCCTGTGACGAGACTCCGGTGGAGGGAGCAAAGCAGTTGCTCCAGGCAGTTAAATTTGCTGCCAAAAACATGCCTGGTTTTCGTCTTGGTTTGGATGAAGACTTTCAAATGGCTGGATGTTTCCAGGAGCTCATCCATGGATATACAACAGGGCTTGTTGAACCATATATGATGCGAGGTCTCCAAACACTGGGACCGAATCGCACTACTCTAGAAATTCTCATTCCCTCTCAAGCAGGGCTCACACCCGAGAAGTGGAAAGAAACAGCCACACTGTGCCCACTTGATTGGCCTTCCAACTACAGTCTTTTGCGATTGTGGCATACCAATGGGAGCCTCCATCAAACGGAAGCGCGACTCAGGAATCAACTGTCGCACAGCCATATGTTTGCTGAGTGGACAGTGCATCTCCACAGATTTGCAGAGCGTGTCTTATTCCAGCAACCTGCAGTTTATGTAGCGGGACATGCCTTGCAAACCAACCTGCGGGAACGAAACTTCCCAGACAGGAAAGTCCGCAGGAGGGTTCCTCCGGAAGACCTGGACGAACATCAAAGGGCGATCCGAGCGCTTCTGCAGCGTGCTAGTGATCAGCAAAGAGTGAACCCAGTTTCGTTTGGGCTCACCAACGAATGGAACGACACCATTACATCAGATAAAAAGCATCATTTGGAACATTTCACGAGAGGTATGACATGATTCCCCGCTCACCCCA